GGTGCCGCGCCTTCAGTGTCCCCGCCGCCGAATTACCAGCGAAGCCGCGGGACCAGCTGACCTCCCGCAGGCATGCTGCTGAAGGCAGCCTGATGGCCACCCTCACAGCAACCGGCAGGCCGCCCCCCATGGCTTGCCGCCCCAGACACGCGCTTGATGCGCTGGTGCCTGGAGCCGCCCCTGCCTTCACCCACCAAACGGGGCAAAGTATGCATAGCCACTGGCTCTCCCTGCTAGTAATGAGGGAAGAAGTACCCCGCAGTGGGAGTAGAGCCTGACTTGCTACCTGCCCACAGAGCAACCCCAGCTGCTACAAGTCCTTCCATCTCAGAGTAGCCCTGAAGCACCATGAGAGTGGTTTATAGGAATAAAGGCATTAAGAGCCCAATTGTGGTTAAAGTACAGTTCGGAATGATTAATTAATCACATTTATATTTGTTGTCTCTTTTGCTCTTTACACAATGGCGAGAACATGAAAAAAACCACATGGGCCCAGCTGGGTCCCAAAACAGTCACGTTTACTAACTACATACAAATCTGAGCACCACTAGAGGGTTCCAAACTATTTAAAGGGATGCTCCTCTATTCCTAAACACTCCATGATTGATTAAACATACCCACTCAGTCATTTAACACTGCATGTAGGATTGTTTTCATTTCATGCAATTAAGGAGTATGCTGTCTGGGGAGGGAGGGAGGTCAGAATGACAAGTTTGTACCCATTTCAAATTTCCAACATATTTCCACTATTATTTTTTCCTTCAAATAAGAGCAGCGCTGTTATTAATAATCACCTTACCAAGTTTGTGAATTGTTGATATTTTGATATGAGATGTCTATGTAATTTAAAAACCACAGGCGAGGGAGGAAAATGTGTTTTCAATAGAATTTGAAATGGAGGGAGAGCTTCTGAGGAGGAGAGACAGAGCAAGGCTCATTGTAGAAGGCAGGAGCTGCTGAGAAGACACTTGCACAGGCTGGTGAAGAGGCTGGATGCTGGGTTAGTGGTGGGAATTGAAAGCAGAAGAGGGAGAGAACGAGAGAGAGAGAGAGTGCCATGGGCTAACTCAGATATTTACAGTGGGTAATTTTGACCTAGATCTGGAATTAAATGGAAGCCAGCAGAACTGTTTGAGGAATGGACTTGTGATTATGCTTTACATGTGAGGAGATGGGCAATGGAATTCTGCAAATGCTGGAGTGTGGAATGCCCCAGTGAGGCTACAGAGAAGGGAGTTGCACCAGTCAAGGCAAGAAGAGATACCAATACAGAGAGACATGAGGATACAGGCAAGTTGAGGGCAGTGGAGTAGCCAGGTTCTAGGTGCAGGGGGAGCAAACATAAAAACGGCGCCCCCCCCCCCCTTCGGCTCCTCCTCTGGCTGCTCCGCACCCCCCCCCCTTGGCTGGCTCCTCCAGCTGCGCCGCGCTGCACTCCTCCCCCCCCGGCTCCTCCGGCCACGCTGCGGCCATGCTGCGCCCCCGCTCGGAGGGGCGCGGTCCGGGGGGGGGGCGGGCATGGGGAAGGGGTAGCGGGCAGGCGCTGCTAGCTTCTCCTGGAGGTTGAGGGGAGCAGAGTAGTGGGGCGGGCAGCAGCTGGCGAGATCCCCTCTCCCT